CCTACCTCCTACACCATACACCTGCAACATCTGCCACATTGCCCCCCTATCCACCCTGTCATACGCCTTTTCCAAATCCATAAATGCCACAAAGACCTCTTTAGCCTTATCTAAATACTGTTCACTTATATGTTTCACTGTAAACACCTGGTCCACACACCCCCTACCTTTCCTAAAGCCTCCTTGTTCATCTGCTATCCTATTCTCCGTCTTACTCTTAATTCTTTCAATAATAACTCTACCATACACTTTGCCAGGTATACTCAACAGACTTATCCCCCTATAATTTTTGCACTCTCTTTTATCCCCTTTGCCTTTATACAAAGGAACTATGCATGCTCTCTGCCAATCCCTAGGTACCTTACCCTCTTCCATACATATATTAAATAATTGCACCAAAAACTCCAAAACTATATCCCCACCTGCTTTTAACATTTCTATCTTTATCCCATCAATCCCGGCTGCCTTACCCCCTTTCATTTTACCTACTGCCTCACGAACTTCCCCCACACTCACAACTGGCTCTTCCTCACTCCTACAAGATGTTGTTCCTCCTTGCCCTATACACGAAATCACAGCTTCCCTATCTTCATCAACATTTAACAATTCCTCAAAATATTCCCTCCATCTTCCCAATACCTCTAACTCTCCATTTAATAACTCTCCTCTCCTATTTTTAACTGACAAATCCATTTGTTCTCTAGGCTTTCTTAACTTGTTAATCTCACTCCAAAACTTTTTCTTATTTTCAACAAAATTTGTTGATAACATCTCACCCACTCTCTCATTTGCTCTCTTTTTACATTGCTTCACCACTCTCTTAACCTCTCTCTTTTTCTCCATATACTCTTCCCTCCTTGCATCACTTCTACTTTGTAAAAACTTCTCATATGCTAACTTTTTCTCCCTTACTACTCTCTTCACATCATCATTCCACCAATCGCTCCTCTTCCCTCCCGCACCCACTTTCCTGTAACCACAAACTTCTGCTGAACACTCTAACACTACATTTTTAAACCTACCCCATACCTCTTCGACCCCATTGCCTATGCTCTCATTAGCCCATCTATCCTCCAATAGCTGTTTATATCTTACCCTAACTGCCTCCTCTTTTAGTTTATAAACCTTCACCTCTCTCTTCCCTGATGCTTCTATTCTCCTTGTATCCCATCTACCTTTTACTCTCAGTGTAGCTACAACTAGAAAGTGATCTGATATATCTGTGGCCCCTCTATAAACATGTACATCCTGAAGTCTACTCAACAGTCTTTTATCTAGCAATACATAATCCAACAAACTACTGTCATTTCGCCCTACATCATATCTTGTATACTTATTTATCCTCTTTTTCTTAAAATACGTATTACCTATAACTAAACCCCTTTCTATACAAAGTTCAATCAAAGGGCTCTCATTATCATTTACACATGGCACCCCAAACTTACCTACCACACCCTCTCTAAAAGTTTCTCCTACTTTAGCATTCAGGTCCCCTACCACAATTACTCTCTCACTTGGTTCAAAGGCTCCTATACATTCACTTAACATCTCCCAAAATCTCTCTCTCTCCTCTGCATTCCTCTCTTCTCCAGGTGCATACACGCTTATTATGACCCACTTCTCGCATCCAACCTTTACTTTAATCCACATAATTCTTGAATTTACACATTCATATTATCTTTTCTCCTTCCATAACTGATCATTCAACATTACTGCTAGCCCTTCCTTTGCTCTAAGTCTCTCAGATACTCCAGATTTAATCCCATTTATTTCCCCCCACCGAAACTCCCCTACCCCCTTCAGCTTTGTTTCGCTTAGGGCCAGGACATCCAACTTCTTTTCATTCATAACATCAGCAATCATCTGTTTCTTGTCATCCGCACTACATCCACGCACATTTAAGCATCCCAGTTTTATAAAGTTTTTCTTCTTCTCTTTTTTAGTAAATGTCTACAGGAGAAGGGGTTACTAGCCCATTGCTCCCGGCATTTTAGTCGCTTCATACGACACGCATGGCTTACGGAGGAAAGATTCTTTTCCACTTCCCCATGGACAATAGAAGAAATAAAGAGGAACAAGACCTATTTAGAAAAAGGAGAAAAACCTAGATGTATGTATATATATATGCATGTGCATGTCTGTGAAGTGTGACCAAAGTGTAAGTAGGAGTAGCAAGATATCCCTTTTATCTAGCGTGTTTATGAGACAGAAAAAGAAACCAGCAATCCTACCATCATGCAAAACAGTTATAGGTTTCTGTTTCACAGTCATCTGGCAGGACGGTAGTACTTCCCTGGGTGGTTGCTGTCTACCAACCTACTACCTATTCTACCAACCTACTACCTATCTAACAACCTACTTCACTAAATATTACCCTGCTCATACTCCAACAGCTCGTCAGGTCCCAAATACCATTCGTCTCCATTCACTCCTATCTAATGTGCTCACGCATGCTTGCTGGAAGTCCAAGCCCCTTGCCCCTAAAACCTCCTTTACCCCCTCCCCCCAACCTTTTCAAGGACAACCCCTACCTCGCCTTCTTCCCCTACAGATTTATACGCTCTCCATGTCATTCTACTTCGATCCATTCTCTCTAAATTACCAAGCCACCTCAACAACCCCTCTTCAGCCCTCTGACTTATACTTTATTAACTCCACACCTTCTCCTAATTTCCACACTCCGAATTTTGTGCATAATATTTACACCACACATTGCCTTTAGACAGGACATCTCCACTGCCTCCAACCGTCTCCTCGCTGCAGCATTTACAACCAAAGCTTCACACTCATATAATAGTGTTGGTACCACAATACTTTCATACATTCCCTTCTTTGCCTCCATAGATAACATTTTTTGTCTCCACATATACCTCAACGTACCACTCGCCTTTTTTCCTTCATCAATTCTATGGTTAACCTCATCCTTCATAAATCCATCCGCTGACACGTCAACTCCCAAATATCTGAATGAATGAATGAATCTTATTGTAGCCAGTTGGTCCAGCAGCTTACATGCTGGCCTGGAGTTTTACGACTCACTTCCTGTGAGTTCTATCCTCACCCATACTGTGGTTTGTTTGCAATCATGTCATTATGATTTTGTGAGTCAATTCCTGGCTATTTTGCTATACTTTTTTTCTATCAATTGGGCACAAGAAACTGCTAATTCAACTGCCAGAGCTACTCTGTAAAGCATCCAGAAGTTTGCAATTTGTCCAGTTTTACACAAAATGTAACAAATTCCAATTAAAAGAGTTTAAAATATACAGTTTAGGCATTGAAGACACTAAGCAACCTTTCCTCTGTTAAGCAATTAAAGTAATTACATTGCCATGCCTCTCCTACACAACATTTGCTCTATATGTATTATGAGTCCACCACAAAAAATTGGAGTTTTACCCAGTTCTTGAATAATAGAAAAAATGACAAAAAATGATTAGTCATGCTTTAGACAGTCCAAATAAATGAAGCAAACTTATCAAAATGGCAGAAAACATACCTTCCCTTCCTCAGGAAAATAGTCAAAAATCAATATTTCTGCTATTTTGAGGTCTATTTCAGGCCACTTTTGGTCTGACACTGACCAACAAGAACACTAACATGTTTCACCACTTCACTAACATGTTTTCCAGTCAATGAACTGACACCAAGAAACAGCCAATAAAAGAAACCAACCTAGACAATGCATCAAAGTCAATATTTTAACCCCAACACAAGATCCCAGGTTTACTATTACCACCTGGTACTGCACGAGGCAGGATTGTTTTATACTCTGGACACCTGTCACACACTCCCATTTTCTCACATCTAGGCTAAAATAAACCAATCACAATATATCTGAGGAATTTATGTTTAATTAAAACACAGATCTAGGAAAGTGACACTGGCCTCAATAATGCAGATCTACATGACAATGAAAGGGTTAATTATGAACACGTGTAAGTTGTGATGTATGTATGGGTGGATGAGTGTTAAATAATGCAAATTAGCAGACGTTCACACTACACTCACTCACCCATTTGACCATAAACACAGAAATATCAATCTTAATCTTAGAATAATGAATCCTAACTAGTCATAAGTTGGCCTGTGATACTCCAATACTGAAACTATGTATTGTGCGAAAACAAAAGCATTCACATTGCTAAACTCACAAACTAGTATTTAGTCACTCAGCCATAATTCCAACTTACCTCATAATTTGTAATATTTTAAAGTTAAGAATTAATCTAATTCTGCCCGAAATGCCTAGCCATGCTAGGTGTTCTAGTAGCCCCCTCTGTAATTAGTATTTTACTATATGTAAACCACACAATAACCAAATTCTGTAAACTCAGCATTGTAATCCTTATAGAGAATAAACTTGATTTGATTTGATTTGACAAGAAAATATTAGAATGCTGACTGTAGAGACAGTAGCAGATCTGAAAATGAATAGAGAGTACACTGCAGCAGCCCCTTCTGAGACAATGTTATGTTCAGGGTAGAACATTATCCAGCTTGATCAAGCTCTACCCTAGCAGCAGTGTTATTTAATTAAAGCTTCTTGTATATAATGTGTCATCAAAGCCACATCAACAGTGAGTGATAACTGACATGTGTTACCAAACAAACATCAACAGTGTTAACTCACCTGTGTTATCAACAGTTAACAGTGTTAACTCACCTGTGTTATGAACAGTTAACAGAGTTAACAGTGTTAACTCACCTGTGTTATGAACAGTTAACAGAGTTAACAGTGTTAACTCACCTGTGTTATGAACAGTTAACAGAGTTAACAGTGTTAACTCACCTGTGTTATCAAGAGTGTTAACTCACTTGTGTTATCAACAGTGTTAACTCACCTGTGTTATCAACAGTGTTAACTGTTACAAAAAATACGATATCTATTAAGCACAGACATCTCCAGAGAAAACTAGAAAAATCTGCCCCTCTAGCATTCAGCCTGTTACTGGGTTTTTGTAAAATTAACTCACCTGTGTTATCAAGTGTTAGCTTACCTGTGCTATCATGCAGCAGGTCATGGTTGCAGGCAGCCTCAGCCTTCCTAGTATGCTTGCTGGGAGAGTCCTGCACAAGATAAATATATTATCAAAATAAATCATCCTATTTCCCAAGTGTTATGTGGCCCCCCTGTGGGTTTATCACCTCTCCATGATACTACTAATAATAGTAGTAATAATAATTAACAACAACAATGATATAATTATACTACTGATGTGTACCTGTACCTAAATAATCTTACACACAGTGCTGGCATGTAGTTACACATTAACCCTTCCAGGGTTCAGAGGCCAAATTTCAAAGTGTGCACACACCAGGGTCCAAGAATTTTCAAAAAATAATTTTGTTATTTTTTCTTATGAAATGGTAGAGAATCTTTTTCTGAAGGTAACAAAACAAAAAGTACAAAATTTGGTGGAAAACTGACGAAATTATGCTCTCGCGGATTTTGATGTGCCGGCGATATTTACGCATCGGTGATTTTGCCGATTTTGACTCCCATTTTAGGGCAATTACAGTATTCAAGTCAACCAAATTCTTAGCTATTTCACTAGTATTACTTCTATTCTATCAACTGAGCACAAGAAATCGCCAAGTAACTGTTTCAACAACAAAATAAAGTGACCGGAAATTGGTAATTTGGCCAATTTAATGCAAAGTTCAAAATAGGGGCCAGAATAAACAATGCAGGCATTCCTGGCACTAAACTAACATTTCCTCTGTTCATTAGTTATGTTTTCAGGCTTTGTAAATAAATTCCATTTTGATTTTTTATTCGCATAATGAATTTTTATTCAAACCAAAAAATAGAAGATTTACTGTTATGCAATACTGTAATAATTGCATAAATAATATCACCACATTTCTAAATGTATATTAGACCCACCAGCTGTCATGTATTAGACTTGTGAGGTCATTTATTTACTCTTGAACATCGGCAAAAATTTAACATTTCTGCTACTTTGAGCTCAGTTTCAAGCCATTTCCAGTTCTAAAACCAATCAAAGTATCTCTATTTCTGTAGTATATCTTCCATTCTATCAAGTGAGACCAAGAAATCACAAATACAACTTTAAAAAACATACAAAAAAACACTGCAAAGTTGCTGTTTTAATCGAAAATTACGGTCACAGTTTTTTCCTCTCATTATGCACTGTGTGCTGCAGGATTTGTTTTATGTGGTGCACACATACCACACAGATGTATTCTCTCATATCTAGGCCCAAATTTACTGCTCACAGCTTATCAGAGTGAGCTGAGCTCATGGCATATATCTACGGTTTGGACCCTGAATGTAAATCCGTAGATCTATGGCACGGACCCTGAAAGAGTTAAAATCACTAAGAGTGTCTTATTAGTCTTGACAATACAAAGTTAATAATGATAATACAAGTACAACATTGATTTTCCGGACACTGATGGTCTGGAACCTCTCATAATTCATACAAATTTACGAGCAGGAACTTGAAATTCATGTGGCAGTGTATTTACCACCAAACCGTATATCACTTATCCAGCCCCAAGACCAAGGCAAAAAAATCAGCCATCCGGAAAGGACTTGGAACCAAAGGTTCCGGAAAATCGATATTGTACCTGTAAAAATAAAAATACGCAATAATAATCACTGAGGCACATTAAACGTTGTACAATATGTTTATAAAGACATTTTCATTAATCTATGATTTTTTTCAAAATTATATATAATAAACATGCTACGTAACATATAAACATCATAAATACACCCCACAGTAGAATAAATTAACAAATGTGAGAAGTTTTTTCCAGTCATCTTGTCGGAGTGTCAGAAAGAATAATGTTTTCTCTAGTTCAATACCAAAGAAAATGTGTACACAACAGTGTCTCAAAGCTCGGTCGCTAGCACACACAGCTCACACACTGAGGTCCGGAGTTCAAATCTCCTCCAGTACAGCTGGAAAACATTAGGAACGTGTTTCCATAAGACACCTGCTGTCTCTGTTCACCAATCAGTTTAAAATGGGTACCTGGGTGTTAGTCGACTGGTGTGGGTCGCATCCTGGGACAAAACTGACCTAATTTGCCAGAAATGCTCTGCATAACAAGTGGCTCTGTATATAATAGAATGTCATTGATATCAGCCAGGCCTGTATATCTCGTACATGTGCTTGTAGCAAAAAAAGATATTATTATTTTCTTTTTTTATTAACACATCGGCCCTTTCCCACCAAGGTAGGGTGGCCCAAAAAAGAAAAACTCTCATCATTCACTCCATCATTGTCTTGCCAGAGGCATGCTTACACTACAGTTATAAAACTGCAACATTAACACCCCTCCTTCAGAGTGCCGGCACTGTACTTCCCATCTCCAGGAATCAAGTCCGGCCTGCCAGTTTCCCTGAATCCATTCATAAATGATACCTTGCTTACACTCCAACAGCATGTCAAGTCCTAAAAACCCTCTGTCTCCATTTGCTCCTATCTAACAAGCTCACGCACGCTTGCTAGAAGCCCAAGCCCCTCGCACATAAAACCATTTTTACCCCGTCCCTCCAACTTTTCCTACGCCAACCCCTACCCCACCTTCCCTCCACTACAGATTTATACACACTCAAAGTCATTCTATTTCGTTCCATCCTCTCTACATGTCCAAACCATCTCAATAACCCCTCCTCAGTTGCTGGGGGTAATTATAGAAAATTATTCCTTTCATATGCCTTCACTCAGAGCATCATTCCTTCTAAAAATTGTGTTACATAAGAATGGGAGCGTTGCTCTTTATATATTCTACTGCACCAATGTGGAGACAACTTGTACACAATGTACAGTGTTTGTATTATGGTATAAGCTTCACAAACATGGAAATGAACATGTATCAACCATAACGAGACGCATACTTCTGCTTGTTTACGTACTCAGTGTCTCGGTCCTCTCTCATTTTCTCGTTCTCTCTCTCGCATTTATTTGTTTTATCTCCTTTACTCACCTCTCACCGTATATTAAGACTACAAATATTTTACGGTAGGTAATGAGTGTATTGTGTGTATTTTACTTTTTATTGTTTTTAATACCTAATTCTATTGCTAACTTAATATATATTAGTGTAAACTTGTTATCTGACATTTATACGATTTATAAGTGGAAAAAACTGGCGTTCTGCTTTCCAGTGGTAGCCTGGAACCTGCCATATAACTGGGGCCCTATTGTATATGCTCCATGATCCAAGGAGATAAGAGACACTTCATGGCAGAAGAAAATAAGCACCACCTTAGCCAAAATCTGGGTTAGTGAGCAAATCAATTCCTTAATGCTTTGTCTGTTTTCTATAGCTGTAAGACAGGCTCAGAAGTACATGACTAAGTGTGGTAACAAAAGCTTCACAGCTGCCATCACCATCATACCTGCATTTTTTCCATTGTTTGAATCTGTTTTCTGCTGCACAACACCTCACATACTCATCATAACATATTACTTCAACACTCACCTGAGGTACAACATTTTGGTGTAGTTTCTTAGGGGTGTTCCGAACATCTAGCTTATTTGATGCTCCAAAATTTTCTTTCTTGGGAGAAATTCTAATATTACACTGCTTCCTTGGAGACCGTCGTAACAGCTACAAACAATACAGTATATTAATGTAAGAATAAACATGTAACAATGCTGTTTAATAGTGTTGTATAAAACACCATCCCTCGGTGGGAGACGGCCGACTTGTTGAAAAAAAACAAAACATGTTTATTAACAATACAGGGCAAGTTGAAACTGAGTATAGAATAAAGTGCTCTCTGGACCATACAGTTATTAACTATTAACTTCACTGCAAAACTAAGCCTACAAAATTTTCCAATGCTGTTGGTATTAATGAATGGGTAGACATATTTCTAAACAAAATACATATGCTATATAACAAACATTGTCCCATAAAAACTAAACAGATAAGTAATAAAAGACTATGTTGCCCATGGGTTACTAACAGCATCCTAAGATCCATTAATATGAAACATCAACATGAAAAACAATATAGAAGGGGCTTAATAACTAAAGAATTTATCAAATACTATACATGTCCTCACCAAATTAATCAGAAAGGCCAAGCAACTATATTATTCTAATAGATTCACTGAAACGAGAGGAAATATTAAAAAGACCTGGAAGACAATGTCTCAGATCCTGGGCACCACAAACTGAACAGAACTAGTAATGTTTATTTCCTTGCAAAGTTTACAATGTGTGGTTTACATGTTATAAAGTATTAATTACAAAGAAGGCCACTAGCATGCCTAGGCAAAATAAATGACTTCTCCTCAAACATAGGATCAAATCTCGCCAGTAAAATTCCAATTACTAATGCCCAAGCTAATGACTATCTAGATGGAAACTTCCCAACATCCCTCTATCTTGCACCAACAGAGCCCAGTGAGGTTACCATGATTATTAACTCTCTAAAAAACGAATCAGGAAATATACCCCAAGTGCCACCACTACTGTACATGAGCGGCTCAAATCCTTTCAATCACCATTTCATTACTCTTTAACAAATCACTAGAAACTAATACACTCCCAGCATCACTAAAAATAGCAAGGATTACACCAATACACAAAAGTGGTGACCTAACAGATGTAAACAATTATAGGCCAATATCAAACCTGCCTTTACTTTCCAAAATCGAGATACTCATACACAAGAGATGATAGTCCTTCATAACATCACAAAGTATCCTCAAACTCTGCCTGCTAGGCTTCAGGAGAAACAAAAGCACAAATGATGCAATAATAAAAATGCTAGACCTACTTGACACAGCACTTGAAAAAAATGAATACCCGCTTGGACTCTTTATTGACTTTAAGAAAGCTTTTGATACAGTAGACCACAGCATCCTACTCCTCAAGCTTGATCATTACAGTATAAAAGGCCATGAACTTACATATATCAAGTCATATCTTACTAACAGGAAGCAATACGTCTCTATCAAGGATACAACCTCCTCAACAAGACCCCTGGACAACGGTGTACCACAGGGAAGCATTCTTGTCCCTCTCTATTTCCTTTTAAACATCAACGACCTTCCAAGTGTGTCACAACAACGTATGCCTATTCTCTTTGCTGACAACATGACTTTTGTCATCTCTCACTTTAACCCCTTCAGGGTCCAAGGCCCAAATCTGAAGTGGTGCCCCAGTGTCCAAGAATTTAAAAAAAAAAAATTTGTTATTTTTTCTTATGAAATGGTAAAGAATCTTTTTGTGAAGGTAATAAAACAAAAAGTACGAAATTTGATGGAAAATTGACGAAATTATGCTCTCACGAATTTTGATGTGTCAGCGATATTTACGAATCGGCGATTTTGCCGACTTTGACTCCCATTTTAGGCCAATTACATTATTCCAGTCAACCAAATTCTTAGCTATTTCACTAGTATTACTTCTATTCTATCGATTGAGCACAAGAAATCGCCAAGTCAACTGTTTCAACTACAAGTTAAAGTGATCGGAAATTGTTAATTTGGCCAATTTAACACAAAGTTCAAAATATTCCAATTTCAAAATAGGGTCCAGAATAAACAATGTAGGTATTCCTGGAACTAAACTAACATTTCCTCTGTTCATTAGTTACATTTTGAGGCTTTACAAATAAATTCCATTTTGATTTTTTATTCACATAACGAATTTTTATTCACACCAAAACATAGAAGATTTACTGTTATGCAATATTGTAATAATTGTATAAATATCATCACCATATTTGTGAATGTATATTAGACCCACCAGCTGGCGTGTATTAGACGTGTGAGGTCGTTTGTTTACTCTTGAATATCGGCAAAAATTTAACATTTCTGCTACTTTGAGCTCAGTTTCAAGCCATTTCCAGTGCTAAAACCAATCAAAATCATCTCTATTTCTGTAATATGTCTTCCATTCTATCAAATGAGACCAAGAAATTGCAAATACAACTATAAAAAACATACGAAAAAACACTGCAAAGTCGCTGTTTTAATCGAAAAATCATGATTTCAGTTTTTTTTCTCTCATTATACACAGTGTGCTGCAGGATCTGTTTTATGTGGTGCACACATACCACATAGATGTATTCTCTCATATCTAGGCACAAATGTACCACCCACAGTTTATCAGAGTGAGCTGAGCTCATGACGTAGATCTACGGTTTGGACCCTGAATGTAAAGCCGTAGATCTATGGGACGGACCCTGAAAGGGTTAATCTAGCCCCACTTAATAGTACTGTTCATGAAGAGCTCACAAAAAATAACAACCTGGGACTGTCAATAAACTTACACTGAACACAGACAAAACCTTTTACATTATGTTTGGGAGTAGAGCAAGTGAGGCCCAACTAAACATTATGCTTAACATCCTTATTGCTAAAAATAACGAGGGAAAATTTCTGGGTCTACACCGTGACAGCAACCTGAAATTCAACACCCATATCCAACACATAAAAAAGTATCTAAAACAGTTGGCATCCTCTCAAAAATACATTACTATGTACTACAAACAGCACTATTTACACTATACCATTCACTGATGTACTCCTACCTCAACTATGCTATTTGTGGCTGGGGTTCCACAACAACAAATCACCTAAAGCCAATAATAACCAACTAAAAGCTGCAGTGAGAATGATCACACATTCTGCAGCTAGACAACACCTCCCCCCCAACTCTTCACTCATACTACTGTGCCACCTACATTTACAGAGCAATCAATTCTAATATAAATCCTGACCTGAAGCGCTTTCTTGACAGTTGCAATAGGACCCATGGACATACTACTAGGCACAAAAATATTTATGACATTCCACATATCAGGCTAAGTCTTTTCAAAAACTTAAATGTACATTTTAAAAAGGACCCAAAATCTGGAACTCTCTGCCAGAAATCTCCAGAACCACTGGCTCAGCTAGCATTTTTAAAACCACAGTTAGGAAACACCTTATCTCCTTAACCTATCCTAGCCCATCATATATACATGTAAATATGTAAAAACTATATGTCTATTTGCTCAATATCATGAACTTAGTTAAAACATTATAATAAATATATACTTACTCTCAATATCTGTAATCTTCTCAAATGTTAATCATTCCATTGTGTCCACTTTAGGTTAATAATCAAAACTGTAATTCTTCTCTACCAAACTTATTAAAACCATATAGCATGAACAAACAGACTAGTCAATTTTTTTGTATTCATTTTAACTCACGTAATGACCACATGTACAATTACTGCACTATTATTGCCTTTTTTTTTATTAACACATCGGCAGTTTCCCACCAAGGCAGGGGGCCTGAAAAAGAAAAACTTTCATCATCATTTACTCCACTGTCTTGCCAGAGGCATGCCTACACCACAGTTATACAACTGTAACATTAACACCCCTCCTTCAGAGTGCAGACACTGTACTTACCATCTCCAGAACTCAAGTCCGGCCTGCCGGTTTCCTTGAATCCCCTCATAAATGTTACCTTGCTTACACTCAAACAGCACATCAAGTCCTAAAAACCATTTGTCTCCATTCGCTCCTGTCTAACACGCTCATGCATGCTTGCTGAAAGTCCAAGCCCCTTGCACACAAAACCTCTTAAGTTTGCCCAAATTGCTCTGCACATAAAGGGGCTTTTGCCATGTACACCCAATTGTCATGCTCCTTTGTACAAACATGTATCATGCTAAAATAAAATTACATTGCACTTTACTTTGGTCTCATAGGCCACATAAGTTACTTGAAAAAATAAAGTAGTGGAAAAAGCAAGAAACCTTTGAATGGGAGTAAAAAAAATGTTTACCGGGTGAGTGGCATTCACCGCTGTTGCCATACGCGGCTCATTTTCTGCCAACTTTACGCCTCTATATCTCGGTAAGTAATCATCACAAAAAAAAATATTTTTTTTTAGGCTTTAAACACTCAGCAAAATAATCCTAACATTTTGGTAAGAAAAAATAATTTTTTAATTTTCAAATATTTTTCAACACAGAATGACAGTTTCAGAAATGGGCTTGCGACAGTCAAAGGGTTAAAAAGGTAATGAATCTTATGCAGAGACGTGTTACAGTTACTCTCTGTGGAAGATACAGTTTTCTTGGCAGATTTTGAAGTTGTAAAGATTGATAGACGAATATGGGAGGGTATGTAAAGACAGAAATTAAAAGTAAACAGAAAAGAGCAAGGTGATAAGAGAAACAAAAAGTCTAGGCAATCAAAGACTGGATATCATGCTGGAGGAAGTATGGAGGAGGTGCATTTTTTTTTTTAACACACCAGCCATCTGCCACTAAGGCGCGCTGAACCTGTGGAAAATCTTGTTTGAATTTCCAGACATTACAAACCTTTCCCCAGTTGAGAGAGTAAGGAGGGGAGGCAATGCCTATTGAGGCCAGGTGCCACATTTATATATTCTTAATTTGTAAGATTTAATCTGTAACGAAACCCACAGGCTAAAGTACTGTACACTACTACCTAAACGTATTTAAGCTAAGTTAGAGCTAGACAGAATTTAGCTTGGTAAACTATAACACATCACAGCGTACACAATAGCTGTAAGCACCACTGCAGCCTCCCTATGAGTGTCCACAGGGTATGCAACATGCCTACCGGTC